AAAGTATTGTCTTTTGTTTTTATGGGCGCGTCTACAGATTTCTTGCCATATGTCTGTTTCTTGCATCTCACGACTATGTCGTGTATGAAATAATGTCTGTGTGCATGTGTGTAAAACAACAAACTGACGATTTATATATAATCATTTGTAATTGTATATACATTGTTGTGATTAATTGTGGCTGGAACAATAATGTAGCTGTAAAAAATAGTTCTCTGCTGAAATTGAAATGTATATACATCTTCATCATGACTAGATAGACACGGTGAATTTGTCTTTACTATACACGTTAGATGTGATCCAGCTCATAGTAACAATCCTGTCAGATCGTCCATCCTTTGAGTGAGAGTGTAAAGTTACAGGTCAGCCGATCTGGTTTCATGTTTAAAGTTAACCTTTTCGACATGTTTCCGTGTTGTTGTTGCTCAGCAATGGCATGGACGCGATGTTGTCTGGGGGTTTGGCAAAAGGAGAGTGGGACGGTGGGCGGTGCTCGGGGTGGTGACTGAAGGCGGTGACTGTGTAGTTCTGACGTCAACTTTTTACGGAAGTCACAACGGTTCGTGAAAAATCATAGCTACTTTATGCAGGCTGTGTGCATTTTACTGTGGACTGACTGTTTTGAAACTTATATGGTAGTTAAATAGCCCCTAGACCTCAGTTATCGTGAAAAAAGCCAGGACATTTCAGTTTTGACAATATGGGACCTTTAAATATCAATACGTTTTTGAGAGGTTACACTGCATAACATTTTACAGTATGGCCTTGGGGTTATTAGTTGCAAAAAAACAAACAAACAAAAAAAAGGCTATTGACCAAAATAACAAAGATATTTAATGCATATATATTTAATGTAATCTAAGGGGCTAATCTTTTTTCTTTATTATTATATTTTTTTAATGAATAAATTAATATAACCATATTCAGCACTAGTAGACAGGATTAACAGCCATATTCTTCTGTGCTAATGTAGCCTGTGAGAGAACAGGAGGGTGAGGGAGATTATCTTCACTGAGAAAAAGAATATTGCATTCTTTTATCCAAATAACAGAAGACAAGTTGCCGGGTCAAGACTCCCACGTCCCAGGGCTTAGTGACCTGATAAAGGTCAAGCGGGAGTGCAGTTACTTCAGTAACAATGGAAGTTCCTGCAACTCCATGGAAATGAATCCAGACCTTTCCTTAGTCGTGGAATGTATTCATTGACTTCATTCATTTATCTTGACCAGCAATAACATTTACTTTAGCAAGATGTTTTTAAGTACCAGCGCCAGTTATAACAAAAACAAAAGTGAAAAACAATGAATTTAGTATCAGTGTTCAACTTTCAAACAATCTAAACGGCAGAACCAGTGCTGAATCATAAAACATTGAGAAGATGGTTGGTATAATTTAGTACGCCCATGATTTTCATGTGAACCTTAATAGCACAACAGTCACACCTCAGTCGCCCATCCTGATTTCTTTATTAATGGGCAACTCCATTATTTTGGAGCCACTGGGCAGAAGCTATAAGAAAGCTTCATGTCATCAGGATGGCTGAATGGGCAACCAGGGAGAAAAGCTTTTGGAAACATGGACAATCACTAATTGGATGAGAGATTCATTGGCAATGAGGAACAGTCTCTTATGCAATCTGAATGATGAATAGGACTGAAGCTCTTATAGTTGTGCACATGTGCTGTATGGGTGGGCTAAATTCGTTCTTTAATTCCAGCAATGAACACATCCAAACCATATTTCACACTGGAGGGTTTCTATTTGAATTTACAGTTTCATTTATGTAATTAAGAAGAATGCAATGGCTAGACAGGAAATGTTCTTCCTAGGTGGAAATATGCTGCACTGCATATAAAAATTATTTGTTTTGATGAATTTATAACTGTAGCTAACAAGCCTTTACAAATAAAATGTGCACAGGAATAAATATCTAAAAGCAAATATTTATTTTAAAACATGTATCCATTATGATTACATAAATACCTATAGTACGAGGTACGCAGTTTTGCATTGCATGTTTTCTATGATAAATTCTAACTGCTCCAGACATCAACTGTTCAGCTGAATTACTATAATTACGAGTTTCTGACTAAAAACCATTCAAGTCTTCATTGGACTTGTAATTACAAGTTGGAAACTTATATGAAAGCTTGGTTATTTCTCTCAAACGTCATATAAACAAAAACAAAATGGCAGCGGCATTCACAGTTAGCTCCTACCTCAACGCGTATTGCTGTTTGTTACGTCATTTGATTAGAGTTAATGATAATGGTGCGCTTTCTTTGTTCTTAGACAGTTTGCGATCACATGCAGAATATAAGTGAATTAACATAGAGATTAAATTATTTGCTGTCATTAATAACCAAGTCACACTTGGATCCATTTTAGCGCTGTGATTGTTGCCACAGAAATAAATCTGAGGACATTCCTCCAAATAGAATCGCTGAGTTGCTATCTTGCAATTACAGTAATTCCAATACAACGTAACTGCAGCATAAAACACAGTGAACCTCCATGCAGCAGAATAATAATAACAGCAATACTAATTCTGGATCAGACTCACCATGACAACTGTATGATTATTAAATGTTGACACTAAAGATGGGAGAAATTCAGTCTGGTTAAAAACAAAAACATTTGAGCAGGGTTGGAAAAATGCAATCCCTCTTAAACTTCCAGGATATGCAAAAAACAGAAATAAAAGGACCTCATCCAGAACTGAAGGAAAAATGCAGCACAAACAAGGTAGAAAGACGCAAACACACCAATGTTGAGTTGCATACAACTTCAGTTCGTTATGCACCCGGACTGCCTGATCCAGGACAGATCACTCTGACCACAGTACCCATAATCATCCCTTATGAGTCACTAACTCAATGTACATAAGAGCTGAATGAATGAACAGCAGGGATTTCCACTGGCTGAACTGCGGTGTCCAGGCTCAGGTCTATAGTGTCACGACCCCGCCTCAGTCCAGGGGGTATTAACACTGTATAGGAAACTATGAATGATAGCAAAATGACGCAAGATAGAATGGAATGCATCCATGGAGTCCGCCGGCCATTGAAAGTTACGGCCGTTAAGCTCATGATCAATTACCTCTGCAGCAAGCATCTTTTGGGTTGGTCTAAGTCAAGACCGTTTTGTCCATATGATGGAATTTGTTAAAGTATTAAAGGAAAACGCACACCCTAGAATGGTAAAATTACTATTCAAAACCCAAGTTCTGAATGCTACCTGTATTTGACAACTCTGGCATTTAATATACAGGCAGAAATAGTGAAAACAAGACGCCAAACCATCTGAATGGAATATATTCCATTATCAGAATGTGTAAGATCGCTTGCAGGTTTTCTTTAGGCATAAACAGATCTTACAGATACAAATTTCCATAATACTTTAACAAGAATCTCCTGAATACCACCCAACAACAAATGGTCATTCTTAACATTATTGTGTCCATGTTACAGTATAATTTTGATAGTAGAGTAAAATATTCATCAATGACATGCAATAGTTTGGCCAAAAATGACCATTCTATCATCATTTGCTCATGTCATTCTAAACCCATAAGACTTTCATTCATTTTTGAGAATGAATGAATGAAAATATTTCATGAGAATATTTCTAATGAAACCTGAGAGATTACTGTACCTCCATTGAAAGTCAATTTCACCAAAACTTTGACACTACAACAAGTGTATAGACATCGTAAAAGTAATCAATATGAATCAAGTGGTTTAATCTAAGTCTTCTAAAGAGAAACAAATGCTTTGTATGATGAAGAGATTTAATTTAGGCTTTTATTTAAATATAACATTGAACATGGAGCTGATCAAATATAGTAAACTGAAGCTCCAATGCACTTGTTTGACCCACATGGAGGCTTGTGCTTGAACATCAAGAATGTCTGGTAGAACTTATCATATTTGATGTGCTCTTTTTATGTGCATTGAGCAATGTTTATATGTGAATTGAAAATATGGACAGAAATCTCTCAGATTTTATTAGAAATATCTTCTTGCATTTTGAAGATGAATGAGGGTGAGTAATTTTTTTTAACTGTCTCTTTAACAAATAATCATTATATAGCCTATATAAAATTATGTTCATGCAATTGACTAAGCAGGAAAAAATAATATTTAAGACATTCAGTGACAAGAACATATTTTAGGGGTGTTTAGGTTTTACATTTAAGAAAGCAGCTCACCCTTTGTTCACAACTTGCCTCATAAAGCTTGCCAGAAATTAAATACATGTCAATATGCATGAGGATGGAAATAACATCATGTTTACATCTCTTGTATTAATGGATAAATAATAAGCTGAGAAGTTTAACACAAACCTTCCCTGCTCTCATCTACACACACTACCCCCATTCCACGCTCCTTCAGCACTACATCATGCATGAATCACCACTCAAAGCTTTTTAACTTTGTCATGCTCTTTAAACGGGGGTTTAAATCATTGTGAACCCATTTAAAAGCATTCATGAACCAGAACTCACCGGTGGCTTGTGTGTGTAAAGCCCTGCGTCTGTCCAGCCACAGAAAGCTAAATGCACACAGTATTACAAGACTGCTTCACCATTACTGCTTCTGGATCTCTAATATCCCAATGCAAGCGTCCACAATGTATCTATTTCTCAGCTGACTCTCTCCAATACACACCAAACAACTCCTCCTCTTCCAGTAGCCCCACCCTTAAAAGCTTCATCATCCTCGGACAAAACTGTGTCTTCAGTCTCAGCCTGTCAGTGGAGGAACCTCCCAAGAATGAAATAAGACCTAGAAAAGTACCTTGTGGTATTCCTCAGCCGACAAACTACAAAACCTTGTTTTTTAATAACATCTGTCATCAAAATTGATGTCAACTATAAATGAAAGTGCAAACTGTCTTGATTTAACTGAACATTTTGACATGGCTGAGGTGAACAGTCACATAATCAGAGCTGTTTAAGAGAATAATTTACCCAGAACTGTCCGTCATCATTTGCTTACCCTCATGTTGTTCCAAACCTGCATGACTTTCTTTTTTCTGTGGAACACAAAAGAAGATATTTTGAAGATTGGTGTGGTAACCAAACCATTTAGGTGTCAGTTGATTTGCATTTTAAAAGATACTTCTCAAAGCATTTTCTTTTATGTTCCACAGAAGAATGAAAGTCATAAAGTTTTGGAATGACATGAGGGTGAGTAAATGATGGCAGAATTTCATTTTTGGGTGAACTATCCCTTTATTTTTAGTTTGGCCCTCTAGAAGATGTATTTTTGTTATATTTATGGTAGAAACTGGCAGCTATGGATTCAAAAGTAATACAGGATGAAATTTTGGTGACTACATTTTGCACTTTCTAACTGTACTGTACAGTATATGTGATTAAATGAATTTGAAATTACAATACAGTTAAAATTTAATGTTAAGATACCAACTAATATGAGCTGTTAAATATCTCTGTCACTGTAAAATGCAATGATTAAAAACATTTGTTGTATTTTTCATACAGGGAGGGGCAAGGAATTTCATACATTTTAAAACATATTTTTAGTTCAATGTTTTATCACACAAATACATTGCATGGCTATATAAATATGGATAAAAATATTGTAAATATTTTACAATATTATTACAGCGAAAATACAAAATTGTGTTTAAAAATATAGATTTACCACATTTACCAAGGCAATTACAGTTAACCAATGAACAGCTTTTATTGTATATTTTGTTGTATAATGTCTATATCACTCCCGTTAAACATTTTTCCCTAAGAAAACTAGAGTTTTATCACTTGCATATGTTCACATTGTACATGTCAGATTTAACAAGTTACTAGGATCTTAATCTGCTGCTATTTTCTGTTTTCAGTAGTGCGTTTTTGTTGTTATTTTTTTCATGCTACATTTCTACACTGCGGTAACAGTCAGCGTTACCTTAAGGATGTATTTCTACCCGATCGTTTTTTTTTTTTTTAGCTAATGATTCAGTCATACTGAATTATTCAGTTCAGGTTTTGAATTCAATGAATAAGACCATTTCTTTAAGATGATACCCACGTGAAGCCCACCTGACAAAACATTTTACAGCCTAGATATTAAGCTGTGAATTATTGCTCTAGTATTTGAGTCTGCTGCTTGCAACGCTTACGTTTCCTTTACTCTCTATGATTCTAGAACAGAAGCCACACCTCTCAGCCCTCTCTCGCCCACTGGTCTTATTTACTCACAAGTTCTTCCTTAGGGCACCCAACACCCGTTTTTCCTGCCAGTGCACACTCACAGATTGAACTTTTGGGTGAACGCTTGTTTCGAACAAATATAAGAGTGAGAAATGAAATTCATGCTTACCTCTCTACGCGGAGAACAACCGTGTCTTGTTCACTGTAAATGTGTGAGTGTGTGTGTGTGTGTGTATGTATGTGTGTGCAGCGCGCTGGAAGCTGTCAGTATTCCAAAGTCTGCGCCCACTCAAACCAGACCCCGCCCACTCCAGGGCAACACCACCCCGTCATCAGCCACTAGCGTTTCGCGTTCTGGCCAGACCCCCGCGCGACCCAATGTGTGCGCTGAATAAGCCGAGCGCGTGACACGGCTCTGAGCACACACGGTTAAAGCATAACTGACAACATGGCTGTGTGTACACACACACACACGCATGTTTAACACAGAATTATTTGCCCTTTACTGGTTAAACATTGACGTTATGTTCTTGGCAATTAAAATAGCCTAGTCCCCACGAGCTCATGGATCAAGTTTTTGAACGTTGAATCGTACCAAATACGGTTTCTATTGAGCTACTGTCCCTTCAGCACACGTTTTATTTGACTGTTTTCCCGACTGTAAAACGACAAGTGAGTTTGAGAAAAAATTGCAATAATAAGAACAGTTTCTGTTAAAATATATATATATATAGCCTACTACAATTAAAACCATAAAATATGTTGTCTAAAACGCAGTAAATTAATGTTCCCATCATGTCTTTTATACTGGATAAAATATCAAACTCTTAGACATTATATATGATACAGTATATATATATATATATATATATATATAGGCTACAGTATATTAACAAATTACTTTTAATATTTTACAATTTTACTTAGGCTTGAGTGTTGCCATTTTTCACCATGATGTTGGGTACCAGTATGAAAAACATTTCAGGCTGTACAACAAGAAAAAATGTCTTATCCTGTCCACTCTGAGGGCAAATGCAGTCCAAAGCCTGCTGACAGTGAGCAGAGGCACGTCAGTAGTCTTGTCACACTGAGCTGGGCTTTGTGCCTGCATTACATGTCATAAAAAATAAAAAATAAAAAATAAACTCAAAATGTTATCTAAAAATGAGTCCCATGTGAACACTGTTATAATGACCAAGCTGTGCACGACATACACTGATATTGTGAGTATGATGATTTCACTTATTAGGCATGCAGAATGTGCAATCATTACTTGCAGTCTTGTTAAAGGAGCCGCCTCAGCGCTAAAGAGAATTTATTTACTGGTTTAATACTGAGCAGTTATCAAAGTCATTCATTTAGACAGTCAAAGCACTAGTCATTTTGAGAAAGAAAGAAAAAAAACACACAAGTGCAAGTGTATGAGTAATCAAAGAAAATGACACCCCATTGTATTTTGCCCATTGAAGCACACAGAAGTCTTGTCTTGCAGACTTTGTCAGTTCCTTTCTGTTATCATGTAGTATATATATATATATATATATATATATATATAGGCTACAGTATATTAACAAATTACTTTTAATATTTTACAATTTTACTTAGGCTTGAGTGTTGCCATTTTTCACCATGATGTTGGGTACCAGTATGAAAAACATTTCAGGCTGTACAACAAGTAAAAATGTGTTATCCTGTCCACTCTGAGGGCAAATGCAGTCCAAAGCCTGCTGACAGTGAGCAGAGGCATGTCAGTAGTCTTGTCACACTGAGTTGGGCTTTGTGCCTGCATTACATGTCATAAAAAATAAAAAATAAACTCAAAATGTTATCTAACAATGAGTCCCATGTGAACACTGTTATAATGACCAAGCTGTGCATGACATACACTGATATTGTGAGTATGATGATTTCACTTATTAGGCATGCAGAATGTGCAATCATTACTTGCAGTCTTGTTAAAGGAGCCGCCTCAGCGCTAAAGAGAATTTATTTACTGGTTTAATACTGAGCAGTTATCAAAGTCATTCATTTAGACAGTCAAAGCACTAGTCATTTTGAGAAAGAAAGAAAAAAAACACACAAGTGCAAGTGTATGAGTAATCAAAGAAAATGACACCCCATTGTATTTTGCCCATTGAAGCACACAGAAGTCTTGTCTTGCAGACTTTGTCAGTTCCTTTCTGTTATCATGTCTCCTAGGTAAGCAGATATTTTTGAAAAGGCTGATGGCATGAGAATGATAAGAGCAACCATTAAATCAAATAGCTAATTGAATCTGTGATACATTTACAGTAATTATCAGAAGACAAGGCCACTGCAGAACAAGAGGCTGGTCACAAGATTTTACACTAGTTGCAAATTGTTATACACTCATAAATAAAAGTTCGGCAATGTTTTTGAAGCACATTCAGCAAGTAATCCTTGTTTTCTTAAGAACCAATTTTGTTGTGGTGGTTGTATAAGGATCATTGGTTGGCTGTATTCTTTGGAAATCATGTTCTTCAGAACAGTGTATTGTATTCTGGGTTCTTCAAATCCACAGAATGGCGGACTGATGACAGCTCACTCAGGGCGGGTCTAAGGTAAGACGCCAGTCCAGTCTGTGCTGAAACACTACTGTCAATCAAACTGTCGTGGGAGGGGCCTGTCTGTGTGACGTCACACAGACAGGCATCTGAGATCGGCTCGATTTGAGAAAGGGGTAAAGATTTTAGTAGATTAACAAAAAACCACTGGGTGGATTTTTATCATTTTAGGGTGGTTGTGTACACACACTGCCAACACACATTTCAGTTCAAACAACTTGTAAAAGTGCATGTAGCATTATATGACCCCGTTAACATCCATTGCAATAAAGGTGCTATATGCAGAGGAAAAAGGTTCTTCAGATTGCTCTTCACGCTAAACAAAAAGGTTCTTTTTGGAAAGTAAAAAATGGCACTGCTGTGAAACCTCCCTTTTGGAACTATACAGTTCTCATCCTTCCACGTTTGTTTGCTTCCAAGATGTTCTTGAAAGCAGGAGTTCCCAAACTTTTTATCAGCTGAACTCCTTAGAGGTAAAAGTTTTACTTTAATTTAATATTTTAATAATTTAACAACATATGTATGTTTACAGTGATCTGATGCTGATTATAATAGTAGTAGTAGTAATATGTCTTAACTGTTTTAACATATAGTATAAATGAATATTTGAAAATTACAATAATGAAAAAGTTATTTTTATTTTACATTTATTATAATTAATTAAGCTTTTCATCATCTTACAAACCCCCTGTAGTTCCCTCATTAACCCCCATTTGGGAAGCTGCTTTAGGGCAACACGCATCTGTTTTTATGCAGTTTGGGTGAAAGCTCATTTTAAAAGAAGATTATAACTGCTTACCTATATAGCAGATAGTATAGTTGATCTGTGCTCTATTCCACTGTAACTCGAATATGTTGGGCTATTAAGTTTAGTTACTTAATCAAATATACTTTCAACAATTTAATCCTCAGAAATGTCAAATAAACTCAGTCCTATGTGATTTCCATAGGTCAAATCTGTACACGTTCAGTACATGAGAAGGACAGATTCAAATACCTGCTGATCCACTTCCATAAATGATTGTACAATATTGATGCCTCTCTCACATATAAAATATATCACTGTGACCTTTGATCTAATTTCTCCAGAGTTTGTTTTCCTATACTAATGGCTTCCCCAGTTTGGAAGGAAACAGTCATTTTGCAGTTTCGTAACACATATCAGATTGGCCACAAACGAGCCGGAATTCTGACCAACAGAGGGATTTTGGGAGGGGAAGAATTTACTGCCATCTGCCATAGAGGGGATTACCCCATCAGGACGAGGAGGAGCCTGCCCAGAGACAGAATGTGCTCTAACCCCCAGCCCACAACCCTCAGAGCACACGGGCTCTGCCAAAATATGTAATAACACATTAATATAAGAAAGAGAAGATGGTTTATGATGCCGAATGAGGCATGGTAGTGCATATCAACAGACCTCTCTTGGATACAAGGAATATTTTTGAAAGGGGACTTTTGCATTCGCCCAACATAAATAGACTATTAAATATGCACTTAGAAACGAACAAATTAGTGGGTCTAAATTGCAGTTTGTCAGACAAGACAGAAAACGCTTGCATAATGGATAACACTTTTTATGATGCGGATTTAGTGAAACAGCAAATGATAACACTGGAGAGTCTGTCTGTCATGAGTTTCTGTAATTAAAGGTCTATTAATAGCTTGCTGGATTTCATAAAACCATAATTAATTCCAGTTCCAAGAAACAGGCTTACTAGGATCTGATCTGATCATTGCCAGTAAAGGCATCTCTACCTTTGGTAAAACTTCATAACCATTAGTTTGCGTATGGCTTTTGATAGAGTTCTGTGTGGGCATTAAGTTGATGCCCTAACAAGACCGTGAGAGATCAATCCAAACCTTGCCAAACCTGACAGTTTGGGGTTTCCTCAGCCTCAAGTCAGGTAGACCTAAGCCAGACCAAAGCTAATTAACTAAAATTTTCTGTAAAACATCTGACTAACTGGTCTGACTTACTGTAAATTTGTTTGATTTTAGCTGAAGTGTGCACTTACAGGCCTTTCTAGCAAGAATGCTAGAGAACCAATAATACCATTACAGGAGGACATACTGTAACTTTCAAATCAACTTTAGAGTTTCCCAGAGTTCCCACAACTTTTGACTTCTCTGTGGATTGCAATAAAAAAAAAATACAATAATATATATTATCTGGTTATACTGATTACAGAGAGAGAAGACTTAATAGATTAAAGAGATATATTAATAGATATAGATTAAAAGAATATGAGATTTCTTAATAGTGGGAACCACTGTGATTTCAATCCTCATCCAACCGTTTTGTGTATCTTATCATTTCAATCAGGCTCAAGGGAAAGTTGTTCACCATCATCGGCTGTATAATCAATCTTAAGCTACCAAGCCAGTAAGGGCTGCCCTGGAAAGCCTTTTTGTTCATCATATGGAGAATGCAACGGTTTCATGGCAATTGTCCAAACATATGCCTGAACCGTTGTCAGCTGGAGAACAAGATAAACAAGTTGAACGATAAACGAAGACATGGTGCAAGAGGTATATAATCTTGCAAGACAAGCCAGTTTTTCCTGACAGGAGATGAACCTTCAGAATCATGTATTAGTGCTTTAAAATGCTGTCCTATATGCCGGCAAGCTTTTTGAAATGAAAACCTAACATAACATACTGCAAAACCTATACAGTATTGTGACTGGGTACTGGTCACAGTGTGGTAATGTGTTTTAGTCAGTCTCACACCATATCAATTTTGAAACTGGATTGAAATATACATTTATTTTGGCATTTTTCTGACTTTTTACAATTAATTTATTAAGTTGTGTTATTTTGAGTCCTCTGCACTTGTCTGCAGCTTGGTGCTTATGTTTTATTTATGACAACCATTGCAAAATTACAAACAATGCCAGTGGCATCTAGACTAAACAATTGTAATTGAAACTGAAATTGTAAAACAATTGAAATAGTAAAAAGTCCTGCAGCCAATCCTTTTAGAGTATATGCATACAATTTGTTATTTCTCAATGCAATGTAAAGAAAGCCTGTATTTTTATTTTTTATTGATTTACAAGTTTGATTCAGTTTGTGCTGCAATAAAAAAAATGACATTACAAAAGCATTATTTAAACATCTTTTCATTACACTAATGCTTTAGTGTCAGATTTGAAACTTACTATATTAGTGTCAGGTATATTTTTTTACAAAATAATCACCTGTCGACTTATGCTCAAGTCATTTATTCAATAAGACTGCCACTGTACAGGCCTGTCATATAGTCTATAATGCTAACAACATAAATATATTTACAACATGTGTAAATATATTTAAACAATTTACTCTAATTATAGTAGTGTAGGATTTTCGCAATGGAATAAATTAAAGCTGAATCACCGTGAAAGCTCTAGATCACAGCTGTTCAGCAGACTGGTGAAAAGGAATTAATTACATTATGTCCAATCATACAGTGTCTATAAGGCTTTCAAAATAATCTGTTTTAGAGAAAGTGCATTAGTATTGGTCAAATATACGGCATGTGTATCTACTGTACAATGCTTCAAAAATAAGAGTGTCAAGAATGGTTCGTTGTTTCTAGTCCACTTTTCTAATGAATATAGATTGTGATCTAATTATCAAAATGTATATATAACAAAATAACAAAACATTTAAAGAAACACCTTTATAATATTGATTAAATAAAAATCTCTCAGTGTTTTCCATTTTACCACTTAGTGTTCCTTTAAAAAATAAATATCAAAAAGCCACAGACTGTTGTGGTTGGCAGGTGGATTCAATTGCAGCCCACCACCTTATACTGTGATGCAACAGCAAATACCTGCATAATATATTCAGGTATAATACTGATAGAGATATAGAAGTCAGGCAGACATATGAGAGAGAAAAAAAAATCTAACTCAAAGCAGCATTAACAAAGAACTACACTGTCATCATTAGAATTTCAGTAGCAAGACATAAACTGCCTGAAACTAGACAAATTAGTATTGGCATGGATGTGAATCAGCATATCACTATAAATAAAGAATTTATGCTTAAACACCAGGTTTGGCAATGGGTAAACCCAAACGGTGATCCAGTGAAGGTTTCTAGTGTCCATAAGAAAGCGGTGATGTTGTCTGGATGGTGCCAAGTCTCCCATTCACTTGCCGTCTTGTCTGTGTGACAGGGACCTGTGTAATTGAAAGTCTTAAGTTGTAATATTTTTGTCTTTTATTCAAGAGATAAATGTTTTTAATGCAATTTAATCCATATGATGGTATCTCTGGTGTTACTGTCTTTGGTGTTACCAACTTTCACAGAAACTCCACATAAATTAATGTAAAAAATCATTAAGCTGCAAAATTCGTGGAAGATTAGTGGTAAAATACCAAAAGTAATAAATTTATCTAAAATCTCATTTTTTTTTAGACATTTCTCCTATATGGTTTCTTTAAAACAAGCTTGGGCTGTAACGAGCCTCTTACCTTCCTCAGATGTTGAGCCCCAGAGCCTGAGCGAATGGCCTCCAGAAGAGCCTCTCGGGCCGACTCTGGGTTTCCTCCAGCAGGCAGCACTAGAGGGGTCTTGACTGGAGCTGAAGGTGGAGGTGGGGGAGGACTAAAGGATGGAGGTGGGGATGGCACAAAGGCAGGAGAAGAAGTGGGAGGAGGTGAGATATCATCTCTCTGGACATTTCTGTCCTCCTCAAGTTTCCTGATCAGCTCCAACTCCTTAGCTGCTCCTGATTTGGTCTAGAAGTACGACAATGACATGGCATTTATAGTTAACTTAAAGGGGTCATATTCTGATGACGCAGTAATTACTAACTACAGCGGGGGAATAAATCTTCAATAATAAAGGCCTCCTGTAGCGAATCGATGCTTTTTTGTAAGAAAAATATCCATATTTAAAACATTATAAACCGTAATCTCTAGCTTCCGCTGTCGTATGCACGTTCATTCCAGGTGGATGACGTAGGACGTATGCGTGGCACATGCGCCGGTGAGAAGTGACGAATGCGGAAGCAGAGAGGAGAGACAAAACAAAATAAAACACCAGTCACGAACTAGAAGTACAAAACGAGGATTTGTAAACAAAAATGTCGGAGGATTTCTATATAAGCCAAGAGGAAACTGGTTTTCCTTTGCTGAAGTAAGGAAACTTTGCTTCCTTTGCTCCTGTAAACAAACGTTGGTTTTCACGAGGCTAGCATATACTCACCGGCGCATGCGCTACGCATACGTCCTACGTCATCTGCCCGGAAACGGCTTCCGCATACGACAGTTAGCGCAAGCTACAGAAAAGTGGTTATAACGTTTTAAATATGGATACATTTCTTACAAGATCGCATCGATTCGCTACAGGAGGTCTTAATTCAGCCCCCGGAGCCGTGTGAGGCACTTTTTTATTATGGATGGATGCGCTTTATTGGACTTCTTTTGAACTGTTGAACAGAAACACCCACCCACTGCCATTATAAAGCTTGGAAGAGCCAGGACAATTTTTTATATAACTCCGACTGGATCGGTCTGAAAGAAGAAAGTCATATACACCTAGGATGCCTTGAGGTGAGTAAATCATGGGCCAATTTTAATTTTTGGGTGAACTATCCCTATAAGACATCTTAAGACTTTTTAAAGGTGACCTATTATGCCCCTTTCTACAATATGTAATATAAGTCTCAGGTGTCCCCAGAAAGTGTCTGTAAAGTTTCAGCTCAAAATACTCCACAGATCATTTATTATATAATTTTGAAATGCTTATTTTGAGTGGAAGCAGAAACACACTGTTTTAGTGCCTATCTCTTTAAATGCAAATGAGCTGCTGCTCCCCACCCCCTTTTAAGAATAGGACTGTAAAGACAGCTCGTAACAAAAGATACTCTGATTAAAAAAAAACAAAAAAACATCTGTTTGGTTTTGATTATCATGTCTATCGCACTGAAATCATGCGTTTTAAAGCCACATTAGATTAAACTTCTGATATAGGGTTTTCTGAGCGCACACATCCGAAGCACACGCACAGAAAGTGTCTGTCATATGGCATGTGAGTACTAAACTAAGTTATCTTTCATGTCTTATTGTGATTAAACTATCAAATACACAAAAGTTTGTTAAAAACACACAAGTTACAAAAACAGTCTAGCTGTCACAGCATGTGAGTACTAAACTAAGTTCTCATTCACACAAGTTTACGTTAAAAACACATGAGTTACAAAAACAGTCAGTTATGTCTGTGACGGTAAACAGCTGGGAAAGAAATTGCATGCTTATATTAGATCTGTGTGGCAGCAGCGTAATACACAGTAAATAAATAAATAAATCCACTGCTCTCTTGTCTCCTCTGAGGCTGGGACTCTAAATAGTGTTCTGTACTTGTCTGTGCAGCTACCGATAGAACAGTTAACATGCTTTGCTCAAACTTTTGCCATGGCGTTAGAACTGGTACACCGTTGTCGCTTGCGAATTATGCGAAAACAGAATGGCGGTGCCGTGGGTGGAAACGTGCAGATTGAGGGGCGGTGATATTATAATAAGATCCATTTGCCATGTCACACAGGGAGCGAAATCTGACTCGCTCGTTTTTTCAGACACTTGCAGAAAAAGGCTTACTAAAACAAAGTTACAGGGTTAATCTTTTTCACGTTTCCTGGGTTGGTAGATGCACTGAGGACCCGATTATAGCACTTAAACACAGAAAAAGTCCGACTTTCGTGATATGTCACCTTTAAGGAACTGCGGCCACCCTGTTAACATTCACAATGAACGAGGCACTCAAGCAGTGCTTACTCAGCCACTTCTTTATAATAGCACTGTTCAAAGATTTAGAGTGCTGCATAAAAAAAACCTGCTTGCACTTAACATCTGGTCCATCCTTTTTTGCCTGCAGAATTTCACAGTACAAAGGTAAGTGTAAAAGTAAGTATCACATTGTTATCCGCAAAAAGATCCGCTCACATTTACCGTTGCTGTGCAAAATTTAACAAATAAAAATTCTGTTATTTCAGTAAGAATCAGCACAATCTAGAATTTTGAATCACAAGGATTCTCATTGGGTTCAAGATGATGCAAATTTCCTGTGTTGACTATTGACAATGGACCTTTTTTGCCCACACAATTTCACTAATGTGACCACACCTTAGGGTTGTAAAGGGGCAGAAATGATCCGGTAAATTTCCATAAACTTTCCTGAATTTTTGGAAATTTTTGGAACATTTTGACAATTTTCTGAAATTTCCGGAAAGCTTCCAGAAATTTCTGCCCCTATTCAACCCTACCACACCTTAAGTGTCACTAATATTTAGCAAAAGGCTTACTAAAACAAAGTTACAGGGTTAATCTTTTTCACGTTTCCTGGGTTGGTAGATGCACTGAGGACCCGATTATAGCACTTAAACACAGAAAAAGTCCGACTTTCGTGATATGTCACCTTTAAGGAACTGCGGCCACCCTGTTAACATTCACAATGAACGAGGCACTCAAGCAGTGCTTACTCAGCCACTTCTTTATAATAGCACTGTTCAAAGATTTAGAGTGCTGCATAAAAAAAACCTGCTTGCACTTAACATCTGGTCCATCCTTTTTTGCCTGCAGAATTTCACAGTACAAAGGTAAGTGTAAAAGTAAGTATCACATTGTTATCCGCAAAAAGATCCGCTCACATTTACCGTTGCTGTGCAAAATTTAACAAATAAAAATTCTGTTATTTCAGTAAGAATCAGCACAATCTAGAATTTTGAATCACAAGGATTCTCATTGGGTTCAAGATGATGCAAATTTCCTGTGTTGACTATTGACAATGGACCTTTTTTGCCCACACAATTTCACTAATGTGACCACACCTTAGGGTTGTAAAGGGGCAGAAATGATCTGGTAAATTTCCATAAACTTTCCTGAATTTTTGGAAACTTTTGGAACATTTTGACAATTTTCTGAAATTTCCGGAAAGCTTCCAGAAATGTCTGCCCCTTTTCAACCCTACCACACCTTAAGTGTCACTAATATTTAGCTTACCTTCTTCAGTCTGGCAGAGTTGTTTGGAGCTCTTATTGAGGAAAGAAGTGCTGAATGCTCGTTATCTGCATCATTGTAAGTTGGCTTCCTAACTGTGCAGTTGGTAGACAAGCCAGACACCTGAACAATGTGAAAAGTAAGACATTAGACAGATTTAATACATTCAATTCTCATTTTCATTCCTGATATTTTGAAAATCTTTAATCATAATATCTTTAACAAAGTTGTAAAAACATTCCAGCTTAAGATATTCCAAAAAGCTGATACATTTACTTTCATGCTGTGATTGACAGTTTACCTTTCTGAGCTGTTCAATGCCCTCTCCAGACTGTATGGCCTCCATAAGCGAGCTATGAATAGAAGTTTTCTTCTGTACAGGCTTAAAAGTAACAGGCTTGAACTTCTTAACTGGTCCAAACAAGTTAGCCTGGTTTGGTTCAGATGGAATCTCAGATTTGTGTAACTCTGGCTTCTTTGTAAGTGGTGGACGTGTGGTGTCTGTTGGCGTCTCTCTTACAGAGGAGGTGTCTGGGAACTTATTGATTGGTGTGGCTTCTTCAGAGGAAGACTCCATGTGTTTAATGTGAACAGACATATGTGTAGAAGGCTGGATTTTGTTATTTAAGGGATGTGATTCAAGAGATTTGGTTCTGTCTTCCCCAAGCAGAGTGCCTTTTTCAACGCTGCTTATTCTCTCAGAACTTGCCGGCTTTTTGGCAACATGACTGATGTACCTTTTCAGGTGTTTAGGGTGTCCAAAAGAAGGCATTGAATTTTGGGGGGGTTTGAAAGCATTAGCAGGTTTGTGTATGTTTGTAAGTCTAACCTCACTATTAAACTGTTGACTGACAGGTTTTTGAACACCAACAATGGACTCTGATGGTGCCTGCTTGATATCTGTTTTAGTGTTGGGAATGCTATTGTTTTTAGCAATGGCAGAAGCTACGTATTTTGGCTGGAGGTTCTTCTGGAGGGTATAAGAAAAGAGAGATCTCGCCTTTCAGCTGTGAAAAAGGGATTTTCTGCAGGCTCTGGGAATGAAGGCTTACTTGCCACTACAGCTATGGGCTTCCTTTCCAATATAATGCCCTCTTTATGTGTTTCCTCAGGAGGTGTTTTCACTGAAAGTTTAGAGACTCCAGACACAATCGAGGGTTTCAACACATCAGTATCTCTGTTGTTTACTATGGGCCCCTGGTCTTGCTTTTCTGCAGTGCTCCAGAATGTTTTGGCTTTGTCCAATGGGGATGTTTCTGTATTAGCGTCCACATTGGGATTGCCATTTTTCTCTGGGCCAGTGGAAATCTGTTTTTGTGTAACCATGTTGCCCTGTTCATCAATCTTAATGGCACCTATGACTAGAGAGCCTGTAGGCTTGGTCTGAGACACAGCTGGTTTGGGGGGGATGACAGTGAAGGTTTTCATTCCAAAGCGAGAGACGGAACTCTGGGTGATCTTACCCTGAGTTGTCGGGACTCTGATAATAGGTGTCCTTTCATCATAAGCAGTCTCTGTACTGAACCTCTGGACCATAGGTACAGTCTTCAGTCTCTCGTCAGGAACCTTTTGAACCCTTTGAACAGCAGGACACACAAAACTTTGGGACTTCTGTGATACTATGTCTCTCTGACTCTTTAATTCTTCATTTACAGCTTTACTCTTAGTCTCGGAGTTGAAGACAGCCTTCTGTTCCATATTGTACAGTTTCTCTTCCACAAGTTTAGTGTCTTGTGTTGGCTTCTCGCTGGTTCGAGGTGTACTCACGGTTTTCTCAATAACTGTGAGTGTAGTCTCTTGTGACTGCTTCTTTATGTCTGGAGATGGACTTCTGTGTTTCTCCTCTATCAGGCAGGCATTGTTGTTTTTGTTTTGTATAGCTTCACATGGTGCACACAATTGGCTGGTAATGTTTTGAGAGCTGCATAGCAATGCTGCCTCACACTCACTCGAGCTGCACCGGTCATCCTCAAAAACTTCATCAATAGTTGTCACTGGAATGTCCATGTCAACAATGGAAACAGGTATTTCATCCTCCACAAACACAGATGTTCCTGCTGAGTAATTAATGTGTAATATTTAGAGAAAAAAAACACAATTATGGAGCAAATTAGTCATTCAAACATTGTTCATGGTATGAGATTCACATGGTGCACACAATTGGCTGGTAATGTTTTGAGAGCTGCATAGCAATGCTGCCTCACACTCACTCGAGCTGCACCGGTCATCCTCAAAAACTTCATCAATAGTTGTCACTGGAATGTCCATGTCAACAATGGAAACAGGTATTTCATCCTCCACAAACACAGATGTTCCTGCTGAGTAATTAATGTGTAAGATTTAGAGAAAAAAAACACAATTATGGAGTAAATTAGTCATTCAAACATTGTTCATGGTATGAGAGCTGTCAGGAAACATGTTTACTTAAATTACTTCCTGGCAATTTACAGGATGAATAACTTAAAAAAAAAATTTTTTAAAGGGTCATGAAACACTAAAGTTCATTTTCCGGGATTATGAGGTATGTTTGTTAAACATCATAGAACACAATGTTAGAATCCGTTAAACTGAATTCTTCAACATTCAAACATTGTTCATGGTATGAGAGCTGTCAGGAAACATGTTTACTTAAATTACTTCCTGGCAATTTACAGGATGAATAACTTAAAAAAAATTTTTTTTTAAAGGGTCATGAAACACTAAAGTTCATTTTCTGAGATTATGAGGTATGTTTGTTAAACATCATAGAACACAATGTTAGAATCCGTTAAACTGAATTCTTCACAGGATGTGATGTTTTCTTACACCTATAGTTCATTGATGACTCATCTGTAATTTTTATTCACGACAGCACATGTTGGTTTCCTATAACAGACACATCAAACTGTACGATCACATACAGTAATTGAGAGACGTGTTCTTGGATCGAAAGTGAAGGTTTGTTTTCGATTTGTAAGGTTCTGTGATACATGAATTATCCTCCATATACCGAGTCTCCAACATAAATGTGATACATCCACACCATCAGTGTAACCATCATTGATAAAACCCATCAAACTGCTTACATAAATATGCCACAGAATATGTGACTTATACGTCACAGGATATGCGTGTATTAGCGTAATGTACGGTGAGCTATCAAAATCAAGTTTTGTTGCATGTAATGCTGAATTGCAACATGTATTTATGGGAAATTCTGATGTTTTTAACTCAATGACAGTGAAACAGAACTGTCTGAATCAGAAGACGCTATTGTGTTGTCTGTCTCTCTTCCATCTCCACTCAAAAGTTTTGGCAGTGACATAAGAAAGTTTGCTGCTTCATTATTTGTAGATTATTTTTCCGCATGTTTCTATGGTATACTAAAACAATGATAAGCATATCATAACTTTTAAAGGCTTTTATTGGCAAAAAATATAATGAGTCAATATTTACAGTGTTGACCCTTGTACTTCATAACCTCTGCAATTCACTCTGGCATGCTGGATATTAGCTTCAGGGCCAAATCCTGACTGATGGCGATCCATTCTTGCCTTGTAAGTTCTCGTAGTTGATCACAATTTGTGGGCTTCTGCTTGTCCACTCGCGTCTGTCCTTGACGTTTTTCTTGGAGAGAAGTGGCTTCTTTGCTGCCCTTCTTGACACCAGGCCGTTGTCCAAAAGTCTTGGCCTCACTGTGCGTGCAGATGCTCTCACACCAACCTGCTGCTATTCCTGAGCAAGCTCTGCACTAGTGGTGACATGATTCCGTAGCTGACTCCTCAGGAGGAGACAGTCCTATCGCTTGCTGGGCACTCTGGGATGTCCTGAAGACTTCTTCACTGCAGTCAAAGCGCTCTCCTTGAAGTTCTTGATGATCCAGTAAATGGTTCTTTCAGGTGCAATATTCTTTGTAGCAATTTCCTTGCATGTGAAGCCAATTTGATGCAAACCGATGATGGCTGCACATGTTTCTTTGGCAGTAACCATTGCTAACAAAAACACAATGATTGAAAGCTCATTGCTAACAAGAACACAATGATTGGAAGCGCTTCTTCCCTCCTTTTATAGCAACCAGTCTGCTCTTACAATCTAATTAGTATTATAGTGATTTCACCTGACTAGTACTCATTCACACTTTCACATGTGCTGCTGATATGATTAGTCAATTAATGTTAGCTGGTCATTTTGTGTCAGGATAAAAAACTGTGATTATTTTGTGTGTGAAAAGTTCATTTTTTGGCCAGTGAAGCCAAAAATTATTTAAAATGCATCTGATCAGTCTACACAATAATCTAGAAACAATGTGAATGAACACCACAACAGCTTAAGCAGCAAACTGCAAAACACAAAATTGATGTCACTGCCAAAACTTTTGGCCATGACTGTACCTTAACCACTTTTGTAACATTTTTCAACTATGGTGAGAACTAAAGTTATCGTGACCCTTTAAAGTATTAATGAGGAAGCATAGCTAAGAGGTTGAAACTTCATAAATAACTTCATCTGTGAGTAATTTACCTGCCAGATTTGCATCTAGATTGGCCAAGGTGAGCTGTATCTGAGCAGTAATCTCTGGCTCTTCATATCCATTTTGTCTCTTGATTGACTGATGTCCTCGCTGAATATTTCCACTACTGAAAAATCAATAAAACATCTCAGCTGGTTGTGTATTTGTAACACGCAAGGAAAAGAAATTGACCAACTTTAGGAAAGCTGTCCCTAGTATATCATTACTCACACAGTAATACTGCATTTCTGTATAAGAATTACAGAAATAGCATTCTTGTCTAATTATTGGATTTATTTTGTGCCATCAGTGTAGCAACAGTCTCACATACAATATTGAAGTCAGGGTCCAATATCAAAAGGACAAAAATTACAAATAAAATTGTACTTTTTGTATGACATTACAGTACAGGATTTATAGTATTAGATCAGAGGAAGAACTCCTGTTGCCCTGTGCTCATTGAGGAGTTGTATTCATCAACAATAAAGATTCCACCTGTCATTTCTTAACTTTTTCCCCCCATTTTTTCCTGGACTTGCCCTCTGAGCTTTCTTTGCACTTAGCAAAAAAAACCTCCCATTAATTATAGCCTACATTAAATACGTACACCAGGCACTGCAAAATGATTGAGTGAGTTGATGTGATAAGAACACAAGCCTAGAAAAATGTGTATTTTAACACCTTTGGAAAAGGCTGCTTTTAAAGATGACAGAGTGGAAAAACTAATAGCCCTTTCCTGGAAAAAAGAAAAAGCATGAAAAGACACTATAGAGTCTTATAGTGGAGACCGACCCGGAGTGAGAAGCTGGAGGTGAGGCTTCAGGCTTTGGCAGAGACATACATCTGGATAGCAGTCAGCACTTTCAGCTCCATAAAGCAAAGTTTTAAAAAGCCTGACTCCTCAGTAAGCCCTGGAGGTACTGGCTAGCTGGAAATGGATAAACGTGAGACTGGCTGAACTGTGGGAATGAATTGATGGTGGTAAACAGAGAGAATGAGAGAGATAAATCCTCAGCTCTGTCTCCACTCTGCCTGGGAGAGTTTTTGATTCCTGTCCAACTAGGGCTGTGCAAAAAATCAAATGCGATTTTCATGCTCATCTCATCAGTAAAGCCGGTTCTGTGATTAGTAGTAAATCTCCAGCACGTGCTTTCAGATGGAGCGGTATTTACTACACAGACCCGTAGATCACTGACAAGCTACGCAAAATCGCGTTCATAATCGGCAATGAATCGCCTGCTATTTTGAACGCGATTTTGCGTAGCTTGTCAGTGAAGGTCGCCGTGATTTTGCCAAGTAAGACATGTTCCAGGATCAACAAGGATGTTGATCCAGGAACATGTTGTACTTGGAGAAATTACGGTCACCGTCAGTGAACTACGGCTCTGTGTAGTAAATGCCGCTCCATCTGAAAGCACGTGCTGGAGATTTACTACTGATCACAGAATCGGCTTCACTGACGAGATGAGCATGAAAATCGCATTTGATTTTTTGCACAGCCCTATGTCCAACTGAGAAAAAGTCCAATAAACGGATTGATCTTATGGAGTTCAAACAATGTGGGGTAGATCAAGTGTGGTAAATATAAAATGACTGTTGTTGTTTAAATGTAAAATATCTGAAACTTAAATAAATTCATCACAATTCCAACTCAAATATGTGGGTAAAAATGTCCCGTTTCTTTCTATTTCATTGTTTTACAAGTTTATGAAAATCCAGCTACAACCAACTTCAAGTCGGCATCGAATCTGACAATATTTACCTTCTTAATACACATTTTTGTTAATGTTAACTTCTTGTTTATTGAACTATTATATAAAATCAGTATCACATGTGCTATTGTGCAGATATCAAAAGCTACTCTCAATGCTGCGTTTCAATAACGCATATGAGAACATTCTTTGTTCGACCGGTTGTGAAGCACGTGTGTCAAGCACGCCAAGAATTGGCTTAAATAACCTCGGTGGGTGAGCACGTGTGTCAAGCACGCCAAGAATTGGCTTAAATAACCTCGGTGGGTGACGTCATTTGATTATGTGTACCTGCAGGGTTATAAATAGACGTGAAACGGACACACCTTCAAGTTTCTTTGTCTTCAGGGACCGTATTGTGTGTGTGTGTGTGTGTGTGTCTGTGTGCGTTTTTGCGCCGTGCTGCATCGCAGTTTGTTTTTTGAAAAGAAAGAAAAGAGGAATTACTTGCTATGTCAGGGGATTCCGCTAAGAGATGCGTGTCTCCTTGTTCAAGGCTCATCTCGCGAGGACAAAGCATATGAGGAGTTACTCGAGGTGGTGACTCGGGCAGTCCACAGACTAAAGCTGGACTGGCCACAGGAGCAGGAGACCCCCAAATGCTCGAAGCTCAATGACAGATTTCTGTCAGGTGGCCAAGGGAAGGGACCTCAGCGATGGTCTCTCCCCTTCTTTGGCGATCTCCATGATGAGTTAACTCGTTCATGGAGTAAGCCCTATTCATCCCATGTCTTTGTGCCATCGACGTCGATTTATTCGACCATCGTGGATGCAAAGGCACGGGGCTACATGATGATAACCCAGGTGGATAGACGCTCACAGTCTATCTCTCCCCTGGGAGCTCATCCTCTCTGAAAAAAACAATGCTCGCTTTCTCTCGCCTTCTGGCCTATTTGGTGGCTCTGTCAACACAGTCATCAGTAGGTTCCGGGAGGCGAAGCGTTACGAGAAAGCTTTTGTAAAGTTTCTCCCCCGTCATGCTCAAGCGTTAGGACTGTCAGCCACCCAGTCCCGACCAGGTCTGGATTCTCTGAGGCGTGAAGGCCAGAAAGAGAGTGTGGCAAGTCGTGCGCCTCCTCACAAAGACTGGGGAACAGCTTGCCGCACTCCACAGACCACAACTAAGAAGCCAGACCTGAGGAGCATCCGCTCCTCTAAAAAGAAGTCCTGAGGGTGGTGCGCCCAGGGCCGTGGGGGTGTGTCCCCTCAGGGAGGGGCACAAAAAATTCCAGCAGAGAGTAGGGACTCCTTTCCTGCACCCTCAGGGGACCGCTGTACAATCTCCAGCAGACAGTAGGGACTCCTTTCCTGCACCCTCAGGGGACCGCTGTACAATCGCCATTGTTGTTTCGGAGGACAGCGGTCTCCAACAAAATGTTAAATGTTCGGTTGCCTCCTGCCATGTTTCAGGACACCGAACATCTAACATTCCCCCAGCAAAGCGAAATGTGTCAAAACTAGTGCTCCTTTCAGAGAAATTGGCAGCGTGAAAACTACTGTCAAATACCTCTCCGTGGGTCGAAAGAACTGTAGAGAAAGGCTACAGGATACAGTTTGCACGTCTTCCTCCGAGTTTCAACGGCGTGGTCTCCACTTCCGTGAAACCGGAACAAGCACATTTGTTGACACAGGAATTGCAAGCTCTGCTGGACAAAGGAGCCATAGAACATGATCCCCTGCCAGACAGAGAGTCAGGTTACTATAGCCTGCATTTTCTGGTTCCCACGAAAGATGGGGGGTTGTGTCCAATTTTAGATCTTCGCGGGTTGAACCGCTACCTCAGAACATGCAAGTTCAAAATGCTGACAATAAAAATGATTGTTTCTCAGATCCAATCGGGGGATTGGTTTGTGACAATCAATCTTAAGGATGCATACTTTCACATAGAAATCCTGCCACAACACAGGAAGTTCCTGAGGTTCGCTTTCAGGGGCGAAGCTTAGCAGTATCGGGTTCTTACATTCGGCCTAGCCTTGTCACCCCGCATATACACAAAATGCATGGATGCAGCACTAGCTCCTCTGTGACTCCAGGGTATTTTAAATTACATCCGCATTTTAAATTACATAGACGACTGGCTGTTTTTGACCCAGCCTCAAGAGTTTGTGCTTCAACATCGGGATATAGTCCTAGCTCATCTCTAATCTCTGGGGTTGAGACTCAACGCCAAGAAAAAGGTTCTCTCTCCTGTTCAGAGGACAACGTATTTGGAGGTTGTATGGGATTCGATCGAGTTCGGCCGCAACGTGATCTGTGTGTGTGACTGCACTTAACATCAAACTGCTTCTGTTTCACACAAATGCTGGCACAGACGTGCACGTTCGGCTAGAGTCGCTTTGAACTCGTGCATCTTCGGAAGCGGAGCAAAAGTTACAAAAAATGTTGTGCACGCGAAACGACGTCGCGCGCCACTCAAAGCGAACTTGCGGACGCGTCGAGTATAAATCAGCCTTGAGCGTGTGTGCGTTAAATACAGTGAAGACAGCACGTTAGTTTAGAACGTAGAGAGAGTGTTAATTTGTGCGATGATAACCTACCAGCAATGTAAATTATTTTTTTTATATATTAGAATGAGTACATTACAATATAAATTTATTAGAAAAAGTACATTATTATTTATGGGCTTAAAAACAAGATGCAAACAATCAGAATATTGTACCTGGGTGGGAGTGCACAATGTAAACATGAAACATATGCCATTACCTATATTGTACTGTGGTACAGTTATGGAGGCCCTTCATAATGCAGAGGTCAACTGTCTGCTCTGCCAATAGTTAGAAATGTCACTATAGTAAGCAGTGTTTAATAAACAGCTGTTTTTCTAAATTCTGCTAAGGTGAAATTCAGTGCAGTCATGTATCGTGATATGTATCGTATCGTGGCCCCTGTATCGTGATACGTATCGTATCGTGACTTTGCTGGTGATACACAGCCCTACTAAACACCCTAAAGAATATCAAGCTAGGCCAGAAAGTTACCATCCATTACATTCAAAGGGTTCTAGGTCTCATGGCGGCTGCATCCACGTTGATACCTTTGGGCCTCCTGCAATCCTGCAGACCGTTTCAGTTGTGGCTCAGAGCCAGGGGATTTCATCCAAGGGCCAATAGCCATAGACAAATAAGAGTTACTTCCTCCAGCAGTTAAGAGGCTACCATGTCCTAGTGTGGGTGGACAACACTGCGGAAGAGACCACTCTTACATAAATCGCCAAGGCGGACTGCAGTCACGCCACCTGAACAGGCTAGTGCAGCAGGTTATGCTTTGGGCACAGGACAGGTTCCTGTCCCTCAGGGCGATTTACATTCCCGGGCATATGAATGTGGGAGAAGACTTGCTGTCCAGACAAGCTGTGACACACGGGAATGGAAACTCC